TTGCACTCCAGCCTGGGTAACAAGAGCGAAACTCTGTGTCAAATAAAAAAAAAAAAAAAGAAAAGAAAATGGGGAAAACCTCATGAACCAAACATACAAGTATTCCCATTTTTAGATTTTTTTCATAGTCCCTACACATGGCTGTCTTTTGGCAAAAGTGTAATTACGGCATACAGACTATTTTGTATGGCTTTTTTTTCACTTAATGTATGATGACTGGCATTGTCCCACATTTCCAGTCTTTATTTATTTTTATTTTTATTTTTTGAGATGAAGTCTCATTCTGTGGCTCAGGTTGGAGTGCAGTGGTATGATCTCAGCTCACTGCAACCTGGGTTCTGCTTCTTGGGTTCAAGCAATTCTCCTGTCTCAGCCTCCCGAGTAGGTAGGATTACAGTTGCACACCACGACACCTGGCTAATTTTTATATCTTTAGTAGAGACGGGGTTTCACTTTGTTAGTTAGGCTGGTCTCGGACTCTTGACCTCAGCTGATCCACCACCCTGGCCTCCCAAAGTGCTGGGATTACAGGTGTGAGCCACCTCGCTGGCATTCCAGTCTTTAAAATCAGCATTTTGTTACTTTGTTTGTTTGTTTGTTTTGAGATGGGATCTCACTCCAGTGCCCAGGCTGGAGAGCAATGGAGTGCACCTGAGGTCGGGAGTTCAAGACCAGCTTGACCAACATGGAGAAAGCCTGTCTCTACTAAATACACAAAATTAGCCAGGCATAGTGGCACATGCCTGTAAGCTCAGCTACTCAGGAGGGTGAGGCAGGAGAATCACTTGAACCCGGGAGGCAGAGGTTGCAGTGAGCCAGGATCACGTCATTGCACTCTAGCCTGGGCAAGAAGAGCAAAACTCAGTCTCAAAAAAAGACATAAAGCTTCAGTCAGTACATGTAAGATGTACATTGGTTTGGTCCAGAAAGGCAGGCCAACTAGAAGTAGGTATGGGGAGGGGGTTGGTGGTAGAGGTGATTCCTAGTCACAGGTGGATTCAAATATATTTTTTTAAATTGTTTTAGACAGAATCTTGCTCTGTCACCCAGGCTGGATTGCAGTGGCATGATCTTGGCTCACTGCAACCTCTGCTGCCCAGCTTCAAGCAATCCTCCTGCCTCAGCCTCTCAAGTAGCTGGGATTGTAAGTGTGCACCACCATGCCCAGCTAATATCTGTATTTTTAGTAGACGTGGGTTTTCACAGCGTTGGCCAGGCTGGTCTCAAACTCCTGACCTCAAGCCATCTGCACACAAAGTGCTGGGATTACAGGCGGGAGTCACCGTGCCTGGCCTAGATTCAAAAACTTTGGTTGAAAGGGTTAAGTTATTGTCTAAAGATTTAGAATCAATAGAAAGCAATGTTGGTTAAGATAAGCGGTTGTGAAGACCATGGTTTTGTCATGCAGATGAAGCCTCCAGGTGGCAGGCTTCAGAAAATAGATGTGTTTCCTACCAGATTTAAGGAATTTGTTCTGGCAGGGTGCAGTGGCTCACGCTGGTAACCCCAGCACTTTGGGAGGCTGAGGCAGGCAGGTTATTTGAGGTCAGGAGTTTGAGACCAGCCTGGTCACTATGGTGAAACCCCATCACTACTGAAAAATACTAATTAGCCCGGCATGGTAGCAAGCGCCTGTAATCCCAGCTACTTCAGAGTCTGAGGCACAAGAATCACTTGAACCTGGGAGGTGGAGGTTACAGTGAGCTGAGATCTTGCCACTGCACTCCAGCCTGGGCAACAGAGTGAAACTGTGTCTTAAAAAAAAAAAAGCTGGGTGCAATGGCTCATGCCTGTAATCCTAGCACTTTGGGAGGCTGAGGCGGGTGGATCACCTGAGGTAAGGAGTTCAAGGCCAGCTTTGCCAACATGGTGAAACCCTGTCTCTACTACTAAATATACCAAAAATTAGCCAGGCGTGCTGGCGGAGGCCAGCAATCCCAGTTACTCAGGAGGCTGAGACAGGACAATCACTTGAACCTGAGAGGAGAATGTTGTAGTGAGTCAAGATCATGCAAGTGTACTCCAGCCTGGATGGCAGAGCGAGGCTCCATCTCAAAAAAAAAAAGAAAAAGAAAAAAGGCCAACTGCTGTGGCTCATGCCTGTAATCTCAGCGCTTTGGGCGGCCAAGGCAGGCGGATCAACTGAGGTCAGGGGTTTGAGACCAGCCTGACCAACATGGAGAAACCCCTTCTCTACTAAAAATACAAAATTAGCTAGGCGTGGTGGTAGGCACCTGCAATCTCAGCTACTTGGGTGGCTGAGGCAGGTGAATTACTTGAACCTGGGAGGCACAAGTTGTGTTGAGCTGAGATCGTGCCATTACACTCCAGCCTGGGCAACAAGAGCCAAACTCCCTCTCAAAAAATAAAAAAAGTTATTTTTTTAAAAAAGTCTATTTCCAAAAGGGAGGAGTTTATCGTGAGGCATGTTCGGCTTCCATTTCCAGTCATGGCCAGAACTTGTTTTTCCAGCTGCCTTTGGAATGCCTTTGGCCAAGAGAAGGGCTCCATTCAGATGACTGGGGGGCTTAGAATTTCATTTTTGGCTTACAGCCATGATTTGCTTAGCTATGCTTCCATAGCTGGGCTTCGGTTCTTTCCACTGTAGGGGCCAGGGGAAAAACTTCTTCTTCCTTTTAGTCCTTGGAAAGTTGCTGAAAAATCAACTCATGAAAGGCAGATTAACTGGAGAAAAGGTAGACACATTTTATTGAACTGTACCCTGGGGGAGAATCACAGAGTGAATACCTATCCCTCAAGAGAGTTCAGACACTTATAAATTATTTATTTTATTTATTTTTTGAGATGGAGTTTGCTCTTGTTGCATAGGCTGGAGTGCAGTGGTGCCATCTTGGCTGACTGCAACCTCCATGGTCCAAGCAATTCTCCTGCCTCAGCCTCCTGGGTTAGCTGGGATTACAGGCGCCCTCCTCGACACGTGGATACTTTTTGTATTTTTAGTAGAGATGGATTTCAGCACGTTGGTCTGGTTGGCCTTGAATTCCTGACCTCGGGTGATCCGCCTGCTTTGGCCTCTCAAAGTACTGGGCTTACAGGCATGAGCCACCACACCCTGCCAAATTATGAGGCTACAAAAAGAATGAGGGTTTGGAACCCCAGCGAAACACATTACGGGACTAACACCAAAATTAGTGGGCATGATGGTGGCACGCCTGTAATCCTAGCTACTTAGGAGGCTGAGGCAGGAGAATCGCTACAACCGGGAGGCGAAGGTAAGCCAAGATCGCGCCATTGCACTCCTGCCTGGGCGACAGAGCGAGACTCCAGTTCAAAATAAAAGAAACAAAAAACAACCAAGACTTATTATGGATCAATCGAGTAAATTTCCATCAGCATTAAAAAAAAAAAAAAAAAAAAAAAAGAAAAGTAGAGAATCTACTACCTACAGAATTGTTTTCCTAAACATCTCCTTAAATGTATAGGTATGTTTTCAGGGTTGTGATAGAAAATGTATTTCTTCACTCTGGGTGTAGGTAAAACAAGTTGGGAACATACTCCTTCAGTCCCTTTTCCCCCATGTGTAAAACGGGACAACACCCTGGGCTTCATAAGAATGTTGTGAACGTGTAACACCTGTGTTCATACTCAATCCATCACCTTTTCCATGTCCACTGCCACCATTGCAGCCAGGCACCATCTCTTGCCCACCATCTCTTGCCTGGACATTTGCAACAGCTCCCTAACCAGCTGCTCTTTCTCCACCCTGCCCGCATTATAGTTAATTCTCATCCCGGAAGAGCTGTGTTTTTTTTTTTTTTTTTTTTTTTTAAAACACAGTCTCACTCTGACGCCCAGGCTGGAGTCTGGAAATCTCCACTCAACTGCCACCTCTGACTCCCGGGTTCAAGCGATTCTCCTGTCTCAGCCTCCCGAGTGGCTCGGACTACAGGCGCATGCCACCATGCCTGGCTAATTTTTGTATTTTTTAGTAGATACGGAGTTTCATGTTGGCTAGGCTGGTCTCGAACTTCTGACCTCACCTTCCTTGGCCTCCCACAGTGCTGGGATTACAGGCGTGAGCCACTGCGCCCACTCAGGAGCCACATTTTAAAACCTAATTCAGATCCTGTCAGTCGTCTGCTTGAATAATTCTTCTTTCCATTTTTGTAGAGAACGGCATCTCGCTATGTTGCTCAGGCTGCTCTCGAACTCCTGGCCTCAAGCGTGCTGCCGGCCTCAGCCTCCCCAAGTGCTCGGACTACAGACGTGAGACACCGCGTTTGGTCTCTGCTGGCATTCTTATAATAGCCTCCCACTCCCCTTCCTTCCTCCAGTTAGGTATAAAAGCCCAAACTCCCTCCTCTGGTCTGCAAGGGCCTCCCTTCACCTCTTCAGTCTCCTCCGTCTCACCACCCTTCTCTCACTCACCCTCACGAACCCTTGAACTCAGATTATCCACCCGCCTCGGCCTCTCACAGTGTTGGGATTACACGCGTGAGCCACTGCGCCAGGCCTATTTTCTCACTCATCTCCTGGCTGCAGTCAACCCCTCCAGGAAAGGCGCTTGCACTTGCCTCTCCTTATGGAACACCCTCCTCCCTAGGGATCTTTCCGGGCTGGTTTCCTCTCATCATCCATGTCTGGGCTCAAAACCCGCCTCCTGAGAGAGGGCCTCCGGGATTGCCCATCCGCCTGTGCCCACGCTTTGGCCAGTTACTCTGATTTTATTTCCCTTCCAGCCCGCATCCCTCTCTGGGACGAAGTCGCCCCAACACTCGTGGCCTTCTTCTCTATCTGGCGCCCCGACAGGAGTGGGAACCTCTGGAGGGCCAGGGAGGAGACCTGGGGACAGCGGCACCTCCTCGCGGGGTCTCGGGTCCGCCAGGAGTCCCCAGCGCGCGTCAACTCAGCACCGCTCTCGATCCTCTGTCCGGCGACCTGGACCGGCGCCGGTGTTTACGTTCCGGGTCGGCGGGCGGGGCCTCGCCGGCGGCCGGGCTCTACTTCCGGGGCGGGGCGGCCGGGGCGGGGCTCCTGTCTCCCGGCCTGTCTGGAGCTCGGCGGCCGCAGAGGCTGCAGCGGCGGCGGCGCGGCGCGGCGCAGGCACCGGCCCGGGGAGCGGCACCATGAGCGGTGAGTGGCTGTCCCGCCGCTGTCACCCGCCCCGGCCGCCCCAGCTCCCGCCGCTCCAGCTGCACACTCCGGCCCCTGAGTCCCCGCGCCCCGCTCCCTCACAGACACCCTCCCCGTCGCTCCCTTTTCCAGACCCCTGGCCCCCGGGGCGCCCGGTTGCTGGCCCCTGCTCACCTGCGGGTCTCTTGAGCTCCCGTGGCCGGGCGCTCCTGGTCTCCTGACTCCGGTCCATCCATAAAAACCAGCTCTTAAAGCCCTGTCCCTAGTCGTCCCAGTCCTGCGACCCCCTTGCCTAGTGTCCAGCCCCCCAGTTCTGCGACCTCCCAGGTCTCAGTCTCTCCTAACTCCTAGACCCTCTGCGTCCCAACTCCAGTTCCGGGTCCCCCATCCCCAGTCATCCTCGCTTCCCAGGCCCCTGGTCTCCATTCCCTGCAGTTTCCACACAGGCAGAGTCTTTCTGGACACTTAGATTGCTGACCTCAGTACCTTCGTGTCCCAGGAGCTCCTGGTCCCCAGAGGAGCTCAGTTCTCCAACCCCTTTGTCTTCCCCATCCCTCTCATTCCCTCCACCCCTGCTCGCAGTGCTTTGCTGTTCCCATCACCAGTTCTTCCCTGTTACCCACTCAGCTTCCCTCCCGGGTCCTGGCTTTTACATTGCGATGGTCCTTGCATATTCCATCCCCTTCCGTGTCTTATCCTGGCTCTTCATTATCATTTAAGGTCTCTCTTGCTCTGTCCTGCCGCCCTTCCCTTCTTGTCCCTTGCCCAGCCCATCTGGGGACCATCAGTTCGTCCTTGCTCTTCCCAGTCCAAACTTCTTCCTGTCACCATGGGGGCGGGGGATGGGGGGAATAGTGATGTTGATGGGGATGCTGGAAGCGAAAGGGAGGTGGGTGTGGACAGCCTGTCCTCAGTGTTTTCTGAAGTTTAGTCTCCTGCCTCTACCCTACTTTCGTCTGAGGAGTCTTATTGGTGTTTTGGTGCTAAGTCATTCCTGGATTTTGTATGTGGAGATGGGAGTGACTCAGGGAAGCCTCTCAGCTCTCCCCTGTCTGTCCAGCCACTCTGGGATCAGGATTTATTTGGGAAGCCCCGCCTATCCTCATAGTGCCTGTTTTCCCTTCACTGTGGAATTGTGTCTCAGGACTCTCTGCATCCAGCCCTCCTGGCCCTAGTCTTTCCCCCAGGCATTTCTGGAGGTTGAGCGGGTGTAGGGGTGGGGGTGGGGGACAAGGCCAAGGGCTACTGCTGTGTTCATGTTTAACTTTTAAAGTAACCTCTGTGGATCTTTTTCGTTGTTGGTTGTTTGTTTAAACAAGTGATGTGCCTTTTGCTTTTGTTATTCAAGACCTAGATTTGTGATATGGACAGTCCTAATGAAGGGGTTGGTGTGGGCGAGTTTCCTGGGAGGTAATCTACCTTTGGTTGCCATATCAAATGATTTTAAGCCTAATTATGGTTTCTTATTCGTGAATATTAGTGATACCACAATAAAAATGTTATGAGCTGGCTTCCACCAGGAGGTGATGTAGGTTTGTGTAAGTGCAGGCCCTGAGGCCAGATATCCTGGGTTCAAATTTTGGCTCTGCCACATGAAACTGTGTGATTTAAGAGTAAGTTACATGATGATTCTGGGAGTCCCAGCAAAATAGAGATACATAGTAGTACTTGTCTTCTAGGCTTGTAATGACTAAATAACATTGATTAGGTAAAGTGACTGGTACCATGTATACCACGAGGTGCATTATCAGGATCTCAGAGCTGCCTGCTGTTCTTTCTGTAAGGGCTCATGGGGAATAGGAGTGGGGTTGTTTTTGCCCCCTTATGGGAGGAGGGCTAGGACTAGACAGTCTCTGAAAATCTTTTCCTTTTAATATAACCAAGGAGTCTGCCACAAGCTCACAGTTTTGGACCCTTTTCATTCTACCTTTAGCTCAAGAGAAAATGAAATTGATAAGCCAATAGAAGTAGATAAGTTTATCTTTCAAGGAGAAATAATGTGAAAACTTAGGAAGTTTTAAAATTTAATTAAAAAATCATTTATGTTGGCTAGGTGTGGTAGCTCATGCCTGTGATCCCAGCACTTTGGGAGGCTGAGGCAGGTGGATCACTTGAGGTGAGGAGTTCAAGACCACCCTGGCCAACATGATGAAACCTTGTCTTCACTGAAAATACAAAAATTAGCAGGGTGTAGTGGTGGGCGCTTATAATCCCAGCTACTCAGGAGGCTGAGGGATGAGAATCTCTTGGACCTGGGAGGTGGTGGTTGCAGTGAGCAGAGATCGAGCCATTGCACTCCAGCCTGGGTGATAGAGGGAGACTCAGTCTCAGAAAAAAAAAAAAAAAATTACATCTAAAGCCAAACAAATTAGAAAAGGAAACCAACAAATGACTTTTTAGGAAAAAGCATGAAGGATCTAAACTTTTTTTTTTTTTTTTTTGGACGGCGTTTCGCTCTTGTTACCCAGGCTGGAGTGCAATGGCGCGATCTCTGCTCACTGCAACCTCCACCTCCTGGGTTCAGGCAGTTCTCCTGCCTCAGCCTCCTGAGTAGCTGGGATTACAGGCACGCGCCACCATGCCCAGCTAATTTTTTGTGTTTTTAGTAGAGATGGGGTTTCACCGTGTTGACCAGGATGGTCTCGATCTCTTGACCTCATGATCCACCTGCCTCGACCTCCCAAAGTGCTGGGATTACAGACTTGAGCCACCGCGCCCGGCCAAACTTTCTTTTGGAAAGATTGTAATTGAGGCAGAAAAAGTGGTCTGTGAGGAAGAACGGGGAAGTCCAACGGTATATTTTAATTGTTTCTTGAGAATGCAGTTGAAAGTGGGTTTCCCCACTTGTGGGATTGATAACTGGCACACAATAAAATAAAGTGGCATGGAAATATTTCTTTTCTTTCTTTTGTGTCCCACTTATAATATTTTATTTATTTATTTGAGACAGAATCTCTCCATGTAACCCAGACTGAAGTGCAGTGTCACGATCTCAGCTCACTGCTTCTTGGGTTCAAGCACTTCTTCTGCCTCAGCCTCCTGAATAGCTGGGATTACAGACGTGCACCACCAGGCCCAGTTTATTTTTGTATTTTTAGTAGAGATGGAGTTTCACCCTGTTGGCCAGGTTGTTCTCAAACTCCTGGCCTCATGTGATCCACCTGTCTGAGCCCCAAAAAGTTTGGGATTACAGGAGTCAGACACCGCGCCCCGGCGTTAACATTTTATTTTATGACGTGTTTTTAAAAACTCAGGATCTAGGTAAGGTTTAAACAGTGCAAATTGGTTTGTCTTTGAAATCTTTTAGGTCTCTCCCTCGCCTCCCTTTAGTTTTAGTTATAGTTTTATTATTTATTTTTTGGTATATTCAGAACTGTGCAAACATCACAATAGTTAATTTCAGAACATTTTAATTACCTCAGAAAGAAACTTTGTACCCATTAGCAGTCATTCCTCTTTCCCTTTCCCCTCAACCCCTGGGAACCACTCACCTAGTTTCTGTCTCTGGATGTGCTGGTTGTGGGTACATATAAATGAAATCATACAATATGGGACCTGTCGTATTTGGCTTTTTTCACTTGGTATAATTTTCCTGAGGTTCAACCATGTTACTGCGTATATCTGTACTTCATTTCTTTTTGTGGCCAAATTATATTCCTTTATATGGATATTGGACATTTCGTGTATTTGTGCATCAATAGATGGGCCTTTGAATTGTTTCCACTTTTTAGCTCTTCTGAATAATGCTGCTGTGAATGTTCATGCATAAGTTTTTGTCGGGGCAAGACTCTTCATTTCTCTTGGGCGTAGATGTAAGAGTGGAATTGCAGGCCGGGCGCGGTGGCTGAAGCCTGTAATCCCAGCACTTTGGGAGGCCGAGGCGGGTGGATCACAAGGTCGAGAGATCGAGACCATCCTGGTCAACATGGTGAAACCCCGTCTCTACTAAAAATACAAAAAATTAGCTGGGCATGGTGGCGCGTGCCTGTAATCCCAGCTACTCAGGAGGCTGAGGCAGGAGAATTGCCTGAACCCAGGAGGCGGAGGTTGCGGTGAGCCGAGATCGCGCCATTGCATTCCAGCTTGGGTAACAAGAGCGAAACTCCGTCTCAAAAAAAAAAAAAAAAAAGAGTGGAATTGCAGGGTCATATGATAAATGTGTTTAACCCAGGCGTCCCCAAACTACGGCCCCGCGGGCCACATGTGGCCCCCTGAGGCCATTTATCCAGCCTCCCGCCGCACTTCAGGAAGGGGCACCTTTTTCATTGGTGGTCAGTGAGAGGAGCACAGTATGTGGCAGCCCTCCAACTGTCTGAGGGACAGTGAACTGGCCCCCTGTGTAAAAAGTCTGGGGACGCCTGGGGTTTAACCATTTGAGAAACTGTGTCAGACCTGTTTCCAAAGTGGCTGTACCATTTTAAATTCTCACCAGCAGTGTATGAGGGTTCTGTTTCTTCACACCTTCACCAAGGGTGTTTTTAATAGCAGACATTCTAGTGGGTGTCAAGTGTTATTTCTTTGTAGTTTTGATTTGCATTTCCCTAGTGACTAGTGATGTTGAGCATCTTATCTTGTGCTTATTGACCAGTTGTGTATCTTCCTTGGAGAAATATCTATTCAGATCCTTTGGCCATTTAAAAATTAGATTGTTTGTCTTTTTATGCTGATCTGTGAGATTCCTCTGTAATTTCTGGATATAACTTCTTTATCAGGTTTATTGTTGATAAAAAATTTCCCCCCCTCCATGGTTTATCTTTTCATTTTCTCTTTTCTTTTCTTTTCTTTCTTTCTTTTCTTTTTTTTTTTTTTGAGTTGGAGTCTCGCTCTGTCACCCGTGCTGGAGTGCTGGAGTGCCGTGAGCGATCTCAGCTCACTGCACCCTCTGCCTCCCGGATTCAAGTGATTCTCCTGCCTCGGCCTCTGGAGTAGCTGGGACTATAGTTGCACGCCAACACACCCAGCTATTTTTTTTTGTGTGTGTGTTTTTAGTAGAGATGGGG